GTCATAGCTGGCCTGGCCTTGGTTACGAGGGGGAGGACTCTGAACACACTTCCCTTACCCGCCAAGTCATGCCTCTCGTAAAAGTGGTATTGACGTGAAAAGGTCAAAATTTTCTTTTCTTTGAATCAGGTGGGGATGTTTTCTTAAAGGTGAATATTGAATCCGGGGATTTCAACTTTTGAGTTAGAGCTTGCATCAGACGGTTTTTTATTCGAGTAACCGTGTCTAGAGACCTTACGTACGATACATAAATCAAGGCCCGTAATTAACAAGAAAAGCTGAACGTCTTGAGTCCGATAAAAAGGAGCGTTGGGAAATGGTGAGAGGTTAGAAGTCAGTAGCATACTCTGCTTACTCCTATAAACAGAGTGAGCGACTGGTGCATCTTCTCATCAGTAGAGACAACGGACTGGACAGAAGGGGCTTTTATTGGTTAATGGCAAAAGAGGAAGAGAGGTTGGTGATTGTGCTGCCTCAAGTGTTACTGGGGGGCGGACCAATGATAGAAAATGCACTTGGTGACTTTGGGAATTAGTATTCGAGCATTGTCTGTCCAAGCATTTAGCTAGAACTCGAGGGTCTGAGCTTCCGTTAAGGTTTTGATGATCTGCAGACTGATGGAAACTCGACCGGTGGCTAATCAAACACARGGYACCAGAAACTAGACGCGGGTTATTGTAAACCAGACCTCTTAAACCAGGGTCGGGTGAATTCAAAACAGGCCTGGGCAATTCGACGCTGACACGGGTAATTCAACCCAGGGTTAGCCGAACTGAGGTAGAACCAGAGGACTTGGCACGACCTAAACTTTCCACCGTCTGGATTGTTGAAGACAAGCAATACTCAACGAGCAGGTCCAGGCTCTTGACGCAGACTCAGTAAAATCAGAGTGGATTTCGCATGGTTAGTGTAGAATCCTCGGACGGTTACCCTGCCCCCTTTCTGTCTTATCACGCAGGTTTTCACGATCAGTGATTGTTAACTGCCTATTCATTAAAGGAGGCCAAAATAAAGAGAGAGATGGGGGGTGAGGAAAGGCTGAGGGTGACCTGTACAATGCATCAAGACAAATGTGAAGGTTGGGAGGAGAGAGTCTCACAGAACCTCAGTTATCTGAAGAGACTCATGATGGAAGTGGCTCTAGAGCAAGTGAAAAACCAGACTCATATTGAATGCACTTTTTACATTTACGGATTAGATGAAAAGCTACACAGTACCCTCTCATCAGTGGGGTCCGTTGAGGAGGCAAGGAGGAGGATTATTGGAAATCAGTAAAAGGGCCTAACTATCAACCCAGAGAGAGGCAAGGACAGGTTAGAGAGAGTGGGTTGGTTTCCGGAAACAGACCACGACAGGGCACCCATTATATTGACAAAACACGGATGGCAATTGCAGTAATCGCCATTTAAGCAACAGCCAAACCGCAGTTATCTCAACACTTAACATACCAGTATTTGTTTGGATTTCCTGGCCAGCACTTGATCGGYGTGCAGCTGGGACCCAGAWAAGAGCAACTCGATCTCAGACAACCAGAGAACTGACTCAGCAACGAACGGTCTTGGAAATTGAACTGTAAGTATTAATCAGCACTTGACTATGCCTTTGGTGTGCAGAGTATAGTACTGTTAGTAGTGACTGAGCAACAGACGATCAATATTCAGTCAGAACTCAGATCGGCGTCTTGATCGGTACTCAGAAAAGATATTTAGGTCAGCATTCAGTTTAACCGACAGAGGAGCACCAAGAACATCGTTCGAATCAGCATCCGGTTTAGTTTGTTTGTTTGTTTGGTTGTTTTTTTTCTTTTTTTCTTTTTTTTTCCAGCAATCAATCGGTTTCTAGACCAAACAAAGAGACCAGCTGCCAGACCAGTAATCAGATTAGCAATCAGACCAGCAAGCAATCATAAGAGCTTTCAGATCGGCGATCGGGGAGAGGTATTAAGAGCAAAATTCAAATTGACATTCAGGTCAGTCATAAGAAAAGGTACTTAGTTCAGTTTTCAGTTCGGCATTCGGGTCAGAAACTATATCAGCAATTCAGCAAGCAATTCAACAATTAGTTCAGCAAATAGTTCAGCAATCAAATCTGCAAGCAAGCCAGAGACAATTCAGCGGATACCAGACATTTTCCTCATGAGAACGGTCCACTCATTTTCTGTCAGCGAGTCAGTGCTGACTAATCTGAATCGACTCTCTTGCAAGGAGGCCTTTCGCTATCGTTATGTCAGTGCCATCGGTTTCAGACAGGGAGACCTGTCAATCTTTGTCGTCCAGACCAGTTTTGCTGACGGTACTATTCACGACCTGAGGCCCTACATGAGAAAGGGCAAGGAGACACACGATCATTTTGACCTGGTGTGGATCTCGGCAGTCGGGTATCTGGAGCAGAGAGAGAGAGAGAGTTCGATGAGAACGGCACAACGCTGATTCGCAGTTTTGGACCCAAGCTCTATACCAACTATCCCAAGCCTCCTGTTCCTTCTCTCCTCACAGATGGCACGAGTTGGCTGGATATGATCGGCTTGGCAGAGAGGTATATCTCGCCAGCAGTGATCGACATTGAGGCACTGACTGAGCCCACCGAGTATCCCTACCTCAGACGGGGAGTCTTCTCAGTGGACGGGCTGCCTACATTGTGGGAGGAGTTTTGCTCCATGGTTAACTTTCGTGTCATGTACCTCGGCTGGTCATGCTCAGAGCTTGCTGCCTTCAGGTGGCTCTTTGTCACAAGGCCTCAATCTCAGATTGTACGTGGGCGTGGGTCACAGCACTAGTGACGAACAGTGAAAAAAGAGACTGAGAGAGACTGACCATAGGGATGAGTGAGGACTCTTGAGAGGTGCTGACCACGCTCGTTTACGTGTACTTTCTGAGATTATTACGAGTTCTCATTCTTCCCTCATTCAATTGCCCCTGTCTTGCTCGAGTCAGTCAGTCTTATTTTCTGCATTATTCTTGCTTGATGATTGCCTTCGAGGATGTTTTGTCACAGTTCTCAAAATTTGATTGACATAATTGATGCATGCATAGCACCCCATAATTTTATGATTATTATTTGCATAACTCTCTGTTGTTCAGAATCAAAATAAAAGATTCCTAAGACCGGGGACCGGCGAAGACCGCAATTGAAGGGTCTCGCTCAAAGCTGGACGCACACAACAGGAAGGGATTTGCATTATTTAATTTATTTTCATTTAGTGCAAGCACACACAAAATCCTGTGTAACAGCCTGTTGGCTTTCCGGTCGCCCGAAGCGGCTCGACTGGAAAAAGTGCGACAGTGCGCACGAACAGGACACTCCCAACCCACATGAGCCTATGGCAGAGGTGGCAGGCCCGTGCCTAGCTAGCTGTCCGGAGACTGCTTGTGTTAGCGTCTCTCTAGGCACGTCCCTCACAGGTGTGGCAGAAGAGCTAAAGGAGAGGATGCCAGCCTGGGCCAAAATGAAGAAGGAGAGTAAGGGACAACTAATCTTAGTTGATGTAGAAGTATTTAGAAGCAGAGTAGGGGCCCTTATAGATTCAGGGGCTACCCGTAGTTATATTAGCCGCAGAGCGTTGAAAAAGTTAAGGCTAGGATTAAAAGTCCAACAGTTAGCAGACCCCATAGTCAGTGTCCTCGCAGACAACCGCACAATGCGAGTTGAGGACTATGTAGAGGGAGTCCAGGCGTATTTTCGCCTGAAGAAGGATAGGAAGGTGGGGAAAGTTCTCCATTCCCTGACTCTTCTCGTACAGGATGACCTTCCTTTCGATGTAGTGTTAGGAATGGATTGGGGAGAGGCAGCATGGGCCATACTCCATTTGAGAGAGCATGAGTGTAGGCTCCCTAGCCCATCAGGCGAGGTCAAGACTGCCCGCTTGTTTCATGTGTCAAGTGTAGACAACACTCTGGCACATTGCTGACTTATTGCTCCCGCGTTCGCGCGATTGGTGAAAAAGGAGCAGTTAGAGGACCAGGTCTTTGTAGTGTATGTTAGACATGTCACTGAGGCCAAGGAAGAATTAAGTTCCACAGATGCAACCATAGCCAAGTTGCTTGAAGAGTTCAACGACTTGACTGAGTCGCCGACAGGAGTAGTGTCGCGACCCATCCAGCACAGGATAGAGATAGAGCCTGGCAGAAGAACTCCTAAGTGAGAAGTCTACAGGATGTTCCCTAGAGAGTTAGAGGAGCTGCACAAACAGTTAGACGAGCTCCTCGAGAAAGGTTGGATCAGGCCCAGTTCGTCTCCTTTTGGAGCACCGGTATTGTTTGTCCCCAAAAAGGAAGGAGAGCTGAGAATGTGTATAGACTATAGGGGTTTGAATACGATTACCGTGAAGAATGCTGAACCGCTGCGCAGGATAGATGATCTATTAAATCGGGTTCAGGGTTGCAAGTACTTCTCTAAGATAGACCTGAAGTCCGAAAACCACCAGATAGAAGTCCATCCCGACGACCAGTATAAGACTGCGTTCCGGACTAGATATGGGCACTATGAGTTTATAGTGATGCCCTTTGGACTAACCAACGCGCCAGCTACTTTTCAGCGTTGTATGAATGACTTGTTTAGACCTTGGTTAGATAAGTTTGTCGTAGTCTACTTAGACGATATAGTAGTTTTCAGCAAGACCCTCCAGGAGCATCAGGGTCATTTGAGGGAGGTCTTGGAGAAGCTTAGAGAAGCTAACTTCAAGATCAATGCGAAGAAGTGCGAGTGGGCCAAGACGCAAGTCCTGTACTTGGGCCACGCACTAGACGGACATGGCATTAAGCCAGAGGACAATAAGATTGCGGCGATTAGAGACTGGTCGATGCCCCGCACATTGACAGAATTGCGGTCGTTTCTAGGCCTAGTTAACTACTATAGGAAGTTCGTGTCAAACTTCTCCACTATCGCCGCTCCCTTGCACAAGTTGCTAAAGAAAGAAGCAATCTGGCAATGGGACAAAGACTGTACGGCTGCGCTAAAGAAGTTAAAGCGCGCATTGATAGAATATCCTGTCCTCAAAGTTGCAGATCCGTCTTTGCCATTTGTCGTCACCACGAACGCGAGTCAGTATGGGATAGGCGTCGTGTTACAGCAGGAAGACGACAATGGCTATAGACCCGTAGAGTTCATGTCAACGAGGATGCCCTCAGAGAAGGTAGCTATCTCAACGTACGAGAGAGAACTCTACGCTCTCAGGCAGGCCTTAGAGCACTGGAAGCATTACCTGCTTGGGAGACACTTCAAAGTGTATTCTGACCATGAAACACTTACATGGTTAAAGACTCAGGCCAAGATGACACCTAAGCTAACTAGGTGGGCCGCTGAAATAGACCAGCATGACTTTGAGCTTAAGCCAGTGAAAGGCAAGTATAACGTAGTTGCGGACGCTCTGAGTAGGAGATCAGACTACTTTGGAGCCATAGTACATTATCTGGATATAGGGAGAGACCTGCAGGAGAAAGTCAAGCAAGCGTATGCGCAGGACCCTATCTATAGTGACCTCCTCAAGAGAGTTAAGGAGGCCCCAGAGACCGAACCACATTACCACACTACAGAAGGATTACTGTTTGAGAAGACAGATGTATTCGACCGCCTATGCGTTCCCAATAGTGAGGAAGTCCGCAGTCTAATACTAGGAGAATGCCATGACACAAAGGGATACTTCGGTTGGCAGAAGACATTAGCCAACCTGATGTGTGCGTACACCTGGCCGGGGATGAAGAATGACTGCATAAAGTATGTCCGCAGTTGTAAAGTGTGCCAGAGGAATAAGACTACTACATGTGCGCCCCTAGGTCTTCTCAGACCGCTGCCTATTCCTGATCAGCCTGGAGACTCAGTGTCCATAGACTTCATGGATAGTCAGGTCAAGAGTAGGCATGGCAAGAGCCAAGTCATGGTCGTAGTTGACCGTTTTAGCAAGTACGCTGTTTTTGTTCCTTTGCCTGCAGAGGCACGCACATAAGTAGTTATTCAGAAGTTTTTCGATCATTGGGTTAGTGAGAACGGAGTCCCATTATCGATAGTTAGTGATCGAGATAGTCGTTTCACCAGCCAGAACAGGCAGGAACTCATGAGAGTTTACGGATCAAAGTTGTTAATGTCATCTGGCCGTCATCCAGAGACCAACGGTCAGACAGAACAGATGAACAAGATCCTACAGCAAGTTCTGCGCATGTACATTAGACCAGATCAGATCAACTGGGATGAGATGTTGCCTAAGGTAGCTAGTGCATACAACAACAACGTGCATCTATCCACCTGCCGCACTCCCAATGAGCTGCACAAGTCCTTTAGACCACGCAAACCGTTCGAAGGACTGAACCGGGATCAGATTCACAGACTACCGCCCGGTACTAGGGAGTTCGCAGTGCAACACGAGAAAGAACTAGCAACTGTTGTTGAGAACCTCAGAAAAGCCCAATTTCAGGTAGGTCTAAAGAGTTTGCACCTGAGGAACACATGTCGCAGAAGTTGCTGCCTGCATACAGAGGACCGTGGCCGGTTCTAGAAGTCAAGGGCGGAGAGGATGGACCGTCCTACACTATAGACATCCCAGCACACCTCCACACATACCCTGAACGGTCTGCGTGGCAGAGAGGATGGACCGTCCTTCAAAGCTGTTGCCGTGTGTCACAAGTCAACAGTTCCGTTCAAGAAGATCCATGATCCCCCCGGATATGGATGGAAGTTATGACATTGACGACATTGTAGATGAGGATGTGTTCAGAACAGGAGGTAGAGGCCGTCCCCAGAAACAGTACAAGGTCCGGTTTGCTTATCAGGAACCGGAAGACGACCGCTGGTTTACAAGAACAGAACTCCTAGAGACGGCTCTCGACATAGTCAGAGCCTACGAGCGTGATAAGAAGAGTAAAGGTCCTGCCTTGGACTGAAATATTCTCGGAGGACCTCAAATTTAGGACGTCGGGAGTGAAACGGTTTTCACCTTTTGCAGCAGCAGATGCAGACCCCAGGGTTCGATTCCTAGACCTCACCCTATCCATGTACAGTATCTGTGTAGATCCCGAGAGTTGAACCTGTGACCTGTGTATTTGTAGACTGTTCGTAGGTCTGTCATTGGTCCATAGGTAGCAGGGGTTCGATCTGTAGGTCTATAGAGTAGAAGTCTTAGCGAGTTCCAGAAGCCTAGCTGTAGCCCTTCTAGAAGGTCGGCAAATGGGCAAGTGGCCAAGTGGCGAGCCAAGTGGTGGACTAAACTGCAGTGTGATTGCAGTACGACGACGGTGGGATAGCAGTGAGTCCACAGTCAGTCAGCGGTAAGGTCCAGTCAGTCCCAGTCCGGTCCAGCAAGTACCACGGGGGACTGTGAGCACCATGGGCCGATGGCAAAGGGCAGACCAACGAGTTTCCGAAGTATAAATCAAGAGGCAGCGCCCAGCCTTTCATTCATTCCTGCGTGAGCCATGCGGAAGCGCTGCCACAGCGACTTGTGCAAGG